GCTCTTTTCCATTGTCCATTGCTCTTTTCCATTTATTTATTTGACAAGCCTATGATTCTTAATAAATGTTCAATTTTACAATATGCTGATAACACTACTCTGTATTGTGTTGGGTCTAACTGTTATGAGGTTATTCACAATCTATCATCTGAACTTTCTTGCCTCAACACCTGGGCTATCTCGAATCATATTAAAATAAATGCAAATAAAACTTTTTCCGTGTGTTTCTGTCGGGAAAGCTGCCGTCAACTAGTTAAAAACTTTTCTGTTTCCTTAGGTAATTTCACTTTAGAAAACAAATCTTGTGCTAATGTCATGGGTGTTATTCTTGACGTCAAGCTTGAATTCCAAGACCATGCACTCCATGTTGTTGCCAAATCTCGAGCTGCTCTAGAGTGTGTTCTCGCCTGGGTTTCCTTTCATATGACAGCAAAATTCTTTTATTTAACAGCTTAGTTCGTCCTTATTTTGAATACTGTTGCGTCGTTTGGTCTCAAACATTTAATTATGTTCTTCATCCAATTCATATGGTATTTAATAGAGGAATACGATTCATCTACAATCTTGACCGCAGGGCATCTGTTCGTGGGTCTCTCATGGACCTTAATTGGCTAGACCTTTCCTCCCGTTGGCGATACCAGGGAGTTGTTATGGCGATACATATTACTCCTCTTTGTTTTTAGATGCGTTGTTGGAATTTCTCCATGCATGATATAATTTGGTTGCAAGAGGTCTAAAGTCAACTCGCGGGCTGGCAGAGGGGAGGATAATTTATATCCCTACAAACATATTACATCAACGGGAGAATCCACGGTTGGGTGCTCTGGGACCTTGTACTATCAAAGCGGAAACATCTTTATTCTCTTTTAAAAAATATGTTAAGGCATTTTTATTTTCATAAGCTTGAATTGTTGATTATTTTGGTTTTTCCTCCATGTTTTTAAGAACTGCCTTTACGAATTTTTCACTGTGAATTTTGTAAGTTTTTATGTGAGAGGACTCCCCCGAAAATCAGCCATGCTGAGTGCGACTTCCTGTTTAAATATCAATAAAGAAAGAAAGAAAAAAAGAAAGATTTGTTTTACTGATGCAAACGTTTTCTATGCAAAAATAGGAAGTTAAAACACTTGTGATTATTTTCAATTTTGGGATTTTATCTTTTTTTTTCATTTATTCAGATACCTACTTCAAATGACTTAATAACATATTTGGAGTATGTAGCCTACTTATGTATGTAGTCACTCCAACTCCGTACTTTATGCAAAACTTTGAGTTTCCAATTTCAGAGTTAGTTTCTGTGCCCTATTCAAATGCTGTAACATTGAGAACTTATTTCGTCACGTACACAACAAATAATCGTTGCTCGCAAAAATATGACTATTAAACAGTAGCGAACCGTCAAGGTAAGCAAGGTATGCAGTGCATATCCTGGCTAAAACAAATAAAAACAAACTTAATATAGTAGTACAGTTCCTGCATTGATTTACCATTTCTTAGCCACAATCTTCTAAGTGGATTGCTGCAGGTTATTGGAATAGCAAAGTTTTTTCACTGTTTGGCTTAATTGGTACATAGGATAAGTCACATTCGGGCCTGTCGCGTCGTACTCTCGGCTGCTTAGAATTTTTCGCATAGCTGGTGTTCAATATCAACCAATCACATATTCATGTGAGTCAATGGAAGTCAGAGCATACCCTATAACGCTTAAATTTGCTATTGTAACAACCGTGTGGTGGCGTCAGAATTATGGAACGCCAAAAGTACAAAATACAATTGGCAGCAGTGCAAAACTGAGAGTTAGCAGCGCAAAACTGAGAGTCAGCAGTACAAAACTGAGAGTCAACAGTGCAAAAGACAGAGTCAACAGTGCAAAACTGAGTAGTGCAAAACCCAGAGTCACAGTGAAAACTGAGTACTGCAAAACCCAGAGTCACAGTGCAAAACTGCCCATACAAAAAAATTCTATAGAATTCTATCAAAAAAAAACTATAGAATGTCTATAGCATAATTGTTTAGAAAATCTATAGAAAATTCTATAGAAATAACTATAGAACCCCACTATAAAAAGTCTATTAAAAAGCTATTAAAACTATATTAAAAATCTATTAAAACTCTATTAAAAATCTATTAAAACTATATTAAAAATCTATTAAAATTATATAAAAAAAACTATAAAAAATTTATAAAAACTCTATAAAAAATATATTAAAACTATATTAAAAGACTTACAAATCTATAAAAATTATATAAAAAACTATGAAAATTCTATTAAAAATCTATAGAATGTCTATGAAAATTCTATAGAAATAACTATAGAAGCCCACTATAAAAAGTCTATTAAAAAGCTATTAAAACTATATTAAAAATCTATTAAAATTATATAAAAATGATATAAAAAAACTATAAAAAAATTATAGAAACTCTATAAAAAATATATTAAAACTATATTAAAAGACTTACAAATCTATAAAAAATATATAAAAACTATGAAAATTTTATATAAAAAAAACATTAAAAAACTATAGAAAATCTATAAACAATTTTATAAAAACCACTTATAAATCTATAAACATTTTATAGAAAAAACCTATAAAAATACATTAAATATGCGAATAGAAACTCTATACAATTGTATAGAAAGTGTATATAAATTGAACGATTTTATATAGAAAATCTGTGTATTCTATAAAAAAAAAATGTGGGTGTTGTGTGTTTTTGGACAATTCAACTGGTCTTGAACTGGCCCCAATTCCAATTGGTTTGCAATGGTCCCAGTTCCACTTGGTAAAAATGGCTTTAATCAACTTCTGCAGACTTACAAAATACACTATGAGTTCATATACAAACCATAATTTCTTTAATTTAAAACACCAACAAACATCATACAGTAGGGACATTACTTCCCTAGGGTCTCATTTACTAGCATACCCCTTCATTTATAATCGTTTTGCTAATGTCTTACTGCTAAACATACTGTACCTCAAATTCAAGGCTGCTTTACAGTCCGGTTTAAATAAGCATTTTTTTTGTCATGTAGTCCTAATACAAGAGTTTATTATATAAAACAATATTCAAGAACCATTTGTGTTACAGGTGTGCATAAACCAGCATTCTTTGTGATATTGCAGCAGCAACTGTCCATA